TTCATTTTTTATACAACTTTGATTTTATTTATTGCCCCAAAGTTACCATAATAAGAAGTCGAGCGGAGTGTGCGGGGTTGTCTGTCTCTAAGTGTAGCCCTGTGATAGACTGGTGACCTGTCCAGGGTGTCCCCTGCCTTCACCCTAAGTCGGCTGGGATAGACTCCAGCCCCCCATGACCCTAGTGAGGATTAAGCGGTGTATAGATAATGGATGGATGGATGGACCTTTTAGATAACAAAGTTAAAAAGTGCTTCATAATTTCAAAAAAAAAAGTCAAATTTGACAAATAATGAAAACAAATTCAAACCAATAAATAAGATTTTCTGTTGTTTTTGAAAAATTTGCATTTTATATCCCACATATAACTCAAAGGGAACACAACAAAAGGCCAACATTTTCACACATTTACATATGCTATGTATTGCCTTTCTGGGTGTGAATCTGTTGTCAAATGGTGTCTGTGACAAGTGCTTCACTGGATGATCGCATAAATACTTTAAATCTTGGAAAAGACAAAGTGAACTGGAAAACTGATTGAAGTCGAGGTTTCTTTTACTGGCAGTCGATGGATTACAGGTTTACAGACAGTAGAACATGTATAGAAAACATAGTTGTTATTGGTCAAGGAACCTTCTCAATGTGCTTTCCAGCGTCACCAGCTTCATCAGCACACAGATGATGATATTTTAACATTAGCAACTGTGTCAAAGTGCCCTCCAGTAAAAAAGGATTACGACTGACGTTACGAAACAAACCCAACAAGCGTAAATATTGGGGTCAAGACCTGGCAATTTCATTTATGGTTTAATTATACCTCAATAATGCTGCCATCATCATCATCATCATCATCATAATAGTATCTTTGTTTGTATGGCATCTTTAAAAGACAAAGTACAATGAAACAATTGACAATGAAATGGGAAAATTCAAACCAATAAGCAAGATTTACTTGCATTTTTGTTTATTTGCGTTCTTATGTATGACATTCAACACTATAGCAATTGTGTCAGAGTGCCCTCCAGTAAAAAGGATTATGACTGACGTTACGAAACAAACCCACCAAGCGTAAATATTGGGGTCAGGACCCGACACTGTCATTTATGGTTTAGTGTTACTTGAGTAACTTACATGTGGAGGATTAAAACCCTACGCTTCACCTGACTATAATACATATTGATGCTGAGCCCCTACAGTAATACAATATGATCATATGGTGGCTTTGAAATGTGGAGAGGTGAGGAAGTGTTTTTAATGGCTTATCTCTCTTTTGCCGTAGAAGTAAGGCCGGAGGGGGACAAACTATGATTATTTTCCCATAACTTGTACTGGAATGTCAATCAATCCAACTTTATTTGTATAGTGCTTTTCAAACAAATGGAACTTAAGACACAGTCCTTTACAGGACAAAAAGAATAAGAAACAATAAAAACAATACATCCCACCCCCGTGAGCGTTATGTTATAAATGAAAGACTCCATAACAACAAGGACTGTCTGTCATAACTAAATGAAGTCAAAATTCAGAAAAACGAAAAAGGACAAATAGACTAATGTATAAATGCATAATTAAAAAAAAAAAAAATCTATTTCACTTTAGTAGCACTAAGTGTAATGAATAATAATGATGATACACGATAATACATTTAATAAATGAAGTGCAAGGTCTTGAATTTGCTTTTAAAATATTAACATTTTCCTCTGCGGAGCATTACAATCCTGCAGGTAGTGAAAGCATGCAGCAGTGTCTCTGTGTTGGCTTTAGAAATAAACAGTGACACTCTGATAGTGTTCCTCAGATGATAAAATGAATTCTTAGTTATGTTTTAAACATGAGGATCACAACTGAGATTTAAGTCAACGATTCCTCTGAGATTTTTCTACCTACCGGTGTGTGTTTAATGCAGGTGCTGCAGTTTCACATTCTCTCTTTACCAAAGACCAGCACTTCAGTTTTGTCCTGATTGAGCCGTGGAGATTTATAACTTCATACTAAAATGCAGCTGAAAAGGGCATTGATTAGCCTGCAGGATTATAACATACTTTCCTGTCTGACATTACTCTTTTAGTCATTTGCTGATAAATTAGTTCTTCTAATTTATTATTTACACCAACAACTAAGCTGTGCAAATTCTTGTTTTTATGTGTTGTAGGACAGTTAATACTTGTAATAACGTATTATCAGATGCTTTGTTATGGTGTAATGTCTAGGAAAAATCAAAGCCAAAGAGGAGCGCTAAAGTCTCAGCTGGGGATGCAACTAATGACTGTTTTCATTTCTGATTAATTTATTCTGATTTTATTGATTCACTCATTAATCACACAAATTGCACCCAAAGCAATTCTTCCAACGGTTTGTGTTGTCTGATCAACAGTCCAAAGATGTTTAGTTCTGTATGATAGAAAACCGTGAAAAGAAGCAAATCCTCAGATTTGAGCATTTTTGGTGCTTTCAAAGTGAAAAAGACAAATTGTCATATTTGATCATTTCTTTTTCACTCGACTATTTGAGTAGCTGGGTCCTAATTTTCACTCCAGTCTCATGCTTTTAATATGTGGCCAGAGTTTTATTTATAGCATATTTGTAATTGGGATCAGATGAGCAGAACAAATGGTGAAGTTTTAAGCGCTGATTTTCATAAACATGAAAGCTCAGTAACAGTAAAGGTGGGAAGGCTGATGTTTGTAGGGGAGGGAGAGCGAGAGAGGGGTTGTGATTTTTGATGCTGTGCAACATTATTCAAGTTTATGAAGCGTTTTCTTGTGTGGGGGGAATACTTATTGGACATCATGAATGCAGAACCAGCCAAGAACTGCCTCCCAGTGGCAGCAACAATCACTTACTGTGTAAAAACAGCCCCAATCCTCGTGTCACTCTTTAAAGGGAGTTGTAAAAACGGGCTCTATCTATACCACAGACATCTTATTACAAACATCAGTATCTTGGTAGTAAATCTTAAATTTCCAAATTTTTAAAAAGGATTAATTTAAAAATTCTTGCATATGTGCCACAACTGTACACCTGTTTGTGTTACGTAAATGTTGTTGTGTATCATATTGCAGCCGGAGCATCCAAACCCTGGGGTGAGGTACAGCAGGACCTCTCGCACTGCCTTCCTACCAGCCTGCGAGGAGGGTCAGAAAGTCCTGAAGCTGCTGAGGAAAGCCTTCGACAGGAGACTCATCTTCACCATCGGACGATCCGTCACCACGGGCCTCAACAACGTCATCACCTGGAACGACATTCACCACAAGACCAGCATGCAGGGAGGCCCACAGGGGTATGAAGTGTACATTTAACTGTGGAGGAATGACTGTTGTGTCCCTCTTACACCACAATCTAATTACAGTTTTTAACACATGTCTGCCCCTACTTGTTTTTAGTGAAAAACCCTAATAGCAGAAATAGATAAAGTGACTAATAATAATCAATAAATAATCAATACAAAGAGTCTGTAGCCATGCTAACAGCTCTGTGAGGCAATACTTCCATTATGCATATGCATTCTGTGCAGTGCTAGCATACAGATTTTTAGCAGGTATAATATTTGCTGTGCTAACCGTTGTAGCTTAGTGTGCCAGCATGCTAACTTTGATTTGTTATCGCAGAACACACAGCACAACTGAGACTGATGGGAAAGTCATAGGTTTTGTTAAGATTTGGTTATAAAGCATATTAAGGGGCCGCCGCTATAGCGCAACTGGTTAAGCTGGTGACCCACGTACAGGGGCTCGACTGTCCTATATAATAAAGGCAAAAAGGCCAAAAAATAACTTAAAAAAAAAAAAAAAAAAAAAAGCTTATCGAGGAAAACACAGGGGATCACCAGAGTTAATGTGTAGTAGATGTTTCTGTCTGGGTAAAGTGTTGGACCGACTAAGAGACGGACTGAAGAGTTGATGTTGCCATCCCTTGAGCCGTGCTACCGGTGTGGCTGAAAATAATTCAAGGAGGCTAAATACTAGAAAATACAAAGCCCACGATTAATATCTACAGGAAATCACTACAATGACTTCAGCTTGAATATCAACGTCATAAGTCTCTGTTATTCATGTTTGTGCTGAGGAACTTTCATTCACTTTTGTGTTCAGAACCAATTTTGTGTTTTACAAAGCAGGTGCAATAAGAAATCTGTAGAAATTTACTACGTGTGTTTGCTCGTTTCTTTCCATCACAGTTTTGGATATCCAGATCCAGATTACTTGGCCAGGGTTCGAGAGGAGCTTCGTCTTAAAGGAGTGACAGAGGACGACTGATGGGTGAACATGCCCTTCAAACAGACTTAATACTGTGTACTGTTACAACGTTCCTTATTTCCAGCCTGCACTTTTTGCAGCGCTCTTGCAGGAATCTTCATCACTGACACTTGAAGATGTTTTTTTTTGTGAAGTGCTTCAACGGCATGAGCAATGGAGGTTTCCCAACTGTAACTCGACTATGCAAAAATTGCTTTAAACGTGATCCAAACCAATGAATCAAGGGTCACAGCACAGTGCGTTTTGTAGAAGAGGTTTTGCTGCTGACCATCACATTTCAGTCATATAACTACGCCGCATCCCGCTGTTTAGCTGTAGCACATTTTTAGAAGCAGCTGGTATAGATGCTTGCATCAACATTGAGTTCCAACTATAGCTCACACTGAGTGAATGCACATGAAGGTTTGTAAATGTATGGGTCAGGTTTTGCAGAGAAGCGAGAAACAATGATGTGACATTGTTTTAGGTTGTATATAAAGATAATTTTGGTGATGCTGCATATTTTTGTTGTCAACAAATCACATAAAAACTAGTAAAAGACTGTCAAGCATGGCCTGTGGAGCCAAAGCCCATACAGTATGTAATTTATTCCTGTGTGCCGTCGAGCTTCATTGTTCTTCAAAAACCAGTAAAACACGGCAGTGGGTGGAGTGTTGCTTTGTTGCATTGAACAAGGTCATTGTAGTTTGTTTTGAAATGATCCCACATGCATTACCCTGCTGCCACAAATACACAAAATCCTGGTTTTAAAACACCGTATATACACTGAGAATACTGTATTCTCTGGTTTGAGAACCATTTGCAAACCACTATGGATATTTATACTAAAGATATATTTGTTACACGATTTAAAAAATCTGTCTCCAGCATGAGGCTCCGACACACGCTCATTGTTGGATTTTGTGTTTTTATGAGATTTGTTGACAAATTACAGACCCACATTCGTTTGTTTTGTGCCTTCACATGACATCCGTTAACATTAAAGAAAGTGTCAAACAAAAGGAGGGTCAGGAGCCCTGTGAATTCACAAGTCCACTCATGTAATTATCAAGCTGTGTAGTCTAAAAATGTCTTTGATATTTTTTTGCCTTTTACCCATCTGCTCCACTAGAGGGCGATGCTCCCCTCAGAGAAGCCCGTGTGATGGCGTCTGCTTGGTATGCAGCTCTATCATCATCACAAACCCACAGTCCCGCAGCACCTCCCAAACCTCATCGCCCAAAGTCAGTGAGAGGAGCAGAGCATCTGCTACAGATGATGAGTCATGTGTTTCTATGGTGCTCGGGGCAGTTTTAGCAGCAGCAGCAGCAGCAGCAGCGTATACTGTATATGTGACATAGGGAGGCCACATTGTGTTTGACCACACTGACTTGCTAATCTCTGGTTTGACTGATGGCGGTGTAAGTACTGTTGAGTGGCTATTTTTAGATTTGGAGACGACACAGGTGCAGTTTAAAGATTTAAGACTTAAGAATTCAAGGTTCTCTTTCCCGTCGGAGCTATTTTGCACTTTACAGAGCAGGTCTGTACTCGTATGTTAAATGTGTAACAAGTGTCCCAGACATCACAAATACACCCGGAAATATAGCAAACTGAGAGGTGCTCTATTGTCTCAGACCTGTTTTCCTGCAGCAGTGAACGACTAAAGCTCTGCGTACGTTTGCTTTTACAAATGAATATGCGTAATATCCATCTGATCGTTTTTCTCAGGGGCTGCAGTGGAGTTATTGGACGAGGAAATACCTTTAACCCATATTTCTACCGTTAAGAGAGCACATGTGACGAGGCGGAGTTACTGGGCCTGGCCTCTTTAGCGCTCTGGTGTTAGCGTCTGGGGGCATTTCTGTGGCCTAGGATCTCAGGGCATCTGCTGCTCTCACAAAGCAGACCAGGACCCATCTGCTCAAACTTACCAACCCCTCACCCCCCCCATCTTTCATTTTCTGCCATAAATCATCAGTGAAATCCATCCATTTCTCATCATCATCATCATCCATCTTTCCATCACTTCCCTGTTAACTGTCTGGTCATTATAGGAGTTATTTCCCTTTGTGCTGTGCTGCGTAAATGGAAAGCATCATTATTTCATTACATATTTTCAGATGTTGTTGTCATTTGTAAACAAACTCTTTCGTTTTGTAGCAGAATGTGAGAAAGACAACTGTGAGCTCAGTGCAGGAAACAGAGCAGTAATGTGGATTGGAAATACAACAATACTGCAGCAATATAGAGCGGAAACTAAAACATGTCTGTGACAAAATTTATTTTCAGTTCAGTGGATGTAACCTACATTTGAACATAAAAATATTCCATTCTTCAGGATTGTTTCCATAAGAACTCATACTGCAGACAGTGTTCCTTGAGGCATTATTGTTAAAATGCAAATCATATTCTCGATTAAACTCAAATAGAATTACACCAGCTCTGTGTGTTTTGTTGGCACTCTAACTTTTCTGTAAGGTGAGGATTTTAAATTAAAAACGATTTTTTTTTTCTTGGCCCTCTCTGCAGGTATTTCCCTTCTCTGACGGCCCATCTGGTCCAGCTGGACATCTGGGAATAGGAGCAAAGAAATCACAGAAATGCAACCAGAACTATAAATATGTATTACTGATTATGCAGAGCAATGTTGTGGGTGGATTAAACATGCATCAACGTAAAAGGTCAGTGACAAGCCTCCTTATAAAAATGGATTGATGACTGAGTGAAAATAAGCTCGCAGCGCATGCATTAAAACAGATAAATCTGTAGCTGCTTTCGCTCGTTCCAATCAAATCTACGCCGTCGCGTGTCATTCATCCACTTGAATATTCTGAAAATAGCACCGAGACTTTGTTGATTTCATGTTTCAGGGTGTGACTAGACAGCTGCTCAGGAGGGGCTCCGAAGGAAACACACAAATGTATACCCATCAGACGAGAGATGTGCAGTGTTTCCTGTACTAGAGATGATAAGAAAATCATTATGTGACAATGCAGAGCTGTTGTTCGTGCCCTCTCTCCCCACTGTGCTCCTTAATTAGTGTCTCTGGCTGTGGGGAGAACCCTGGCACATCGCCTGCCTGCCTGCCTGCCTGCCTGCCTGCCTACTCATCCTCTCATCCTCTGGTGCTGAAGCCACCCAATCACACATATACCTGTGCAGGGTACGCCGCTCTCCTTCCTCCCCCCCGCCTTTCACTGTAATGAGGATCAGCTCTTCCAGACGTAACCTACTTTTGCATACCTTTTGAAGGTATATTTTTACATCTTCACCCAGTTTCCCCTTTTTTAATGCCAAAGTTGACAGATTTTCTAGCTTCCACGAATTTAAGAAAGAAAGAAAAAAAATCTGCATTCAAATCCTAAAAGACAAACAATGACATTTGAGGCTGTGTTTGTGTGTTGGGTAAATGGACAGGAGGGGAGGCTGAGGAGGAATCTGTCTCCGTACACTGTCTTTGTGTGACAGAATGTCAGCCCACACCGCTGACATGCTCATTCACTGTGCCTGAGGCTGTTTGCTTAAGAACAGCAAAGTGAAGGTGGGTGTGTGGGTGCTTGTGCTTTCTGTGGCTTTTGTCTGTGCGCCCTTGACTGCATCTGTGCATACAGTATGTACGGATATGCACTAGTGAATACATGATCGTGTGTGTGTGTGTGTGTGTGTGTCTTTCAGGCAGTTTCTCGCATTCTGTTCTCTGATTCATAGCTGGGGTTACATGGCTTTTTGTCTGCCTGATTTAGCAGAACAGACCCTCTGCTTTTCTTAGTAATGCTGACAGATTTACTGACTTACTTCACTGACGGGACACAACGGCGGAGCTGGCAGCCATTGGGGTCTTTGGCTGGGTTGTCATCAGCACAGATTGAAGGCTCTGCTCAAGCTGTTCTTCATTAGCAACAGCCGAGTTTCTCCATGATATGAGAATAGCAGCTCCGTCGTCTGTCCTCCGCGAGAGAGATTTAAACAGTGTCCAGTAATTACCTCTCCAAACTTAAATCGGGAACTCTGTATTTAATCAGTTCTTCATTATCTTTTGTTCACAGCGCGCTCAGAGTCCGTCCTCATAATCTCATTCGTGTGCAATAACTTGAACGAAAATATCCAACAAAAGCGCACGGTGAGTCTAGGAGATATTTTTCCGGGGTGCATTAAGGAATACTTCTTTGTTGTTCCTTTCTGTCTGCATGCTCAGCCTTGGCCGGCCACTCTCAGACTGCCTCATGTTAGTGCAATTAGCTGCGGCTGTCATGACAACTAGCATGACCTTTCTATCATTTTACAAACAAGAATATTAACCAAGGTCTGTCTTTGTTCTGCACAACTGGAACAGCTGTCTGGAGCTTTTGTCACATTGGTGGAAAAACAGATTCTATTTAGGACAAAAGCTGACTGAGGCAGACGGAATTTTTTCCTTTGTGGAGACACTGAGCACCCGCCAGGTATTAAAAAACTCTGCCAGTTTAGTGACATTGGACATGTCTGGGAGTATGGATGGAGATGTATAGTTACACAGGAAGGCTGTATGTGACGGCACCTCTACTGTAAGTGAGCCACTGTTTGAACATCAGCTGTGTTATTTCTTTATTCACATAGATGGATTTTAGTTTAACATACCACAAGTTGACATGAATAGAAAGCTTAAGATACAACCCTAAAATTAAGAGTAAAAACTGCACAACTGTGGATTTCATAACATTTATGTACATTTGTAGATGAGCGTTAAAGAACTAAAGTCAACAGGTTTTCTAGAAAACTGCCAGATTGCGACATCGTGGTTACGAAACAAACTTGTCTTCGGCACGATCTTTTGCACAAGCAGCTTCACGATGCATTGTAAATATAAACATGGACTTGCTCGAGAAAAAACTTTCTGCTTGCACAACTGTATATTTTATATCGCTGTGCCAACGTGTAGGCAGCTGAGTCCACTTGTTGGCAGAGACTGTGGGCCACACAAAGATTTTTATCTACCAATACGTGATGTAACTCTTCCTTGCACCATAATCCTTGGGTTTGCATCCGCACGAAAACCTGATACAGCTCCAGAGAAGCTGCGACTAAACCTGCAGAACCATCTAAGCGGCGGGGTTTTAAGGCTAAGACGAAGAAAATCCTCGCGGTTTTGAAGCGGGCACCTTACTTCACCTGCGATTTGTTGATTTAAAGACGTCACACTTTCCCGAGGGTTCCGCAGGAGCGCTTACAATTAGCAAATGGAGCAGCTGCACCTTATAGCAACACACGGCGCACTCAGCAGTTTAGCCGACGAATCAAATATGCAAACAGAAAGCCTAATTGTGTCAGATAATTATAGCGAGCGTTGTGGATGGAGTGCGAGTAGCCGTTCCTGCTAGACTATCTTCCTATGATACATAAATCAGTGTGAGTCATGAGATGCAATCCTTTTCTCATTCAGTGTGAGATTTTATATGTCAAATGGGTAACTGACAATCCAGTAAAGCAACAGAGTGGAAAAACTGTATTGTAGTCTTACCAACAAATACGGCGTACCACTCCCAAACCCCCGTAGAACAAGTCCTTTCATGCAAGCTGTGCACATCTAAATCAATAGCAAACATAATTTAAGCCCCGGGATGATTTGCTAGCATGGAAATATTTGCTTTTTACTTAAACCCGGCACTGCAAAAATGTTGAAATGAGAGTAACATGATGAAACGCATAACACAACGTAGCTCTATGAATATTTTTTTTGCCCTTAAGAGCTCTGGTGAACATCAGGGGCCAAGTCTGTAATTAAAGACAGACGGAGGAGAGTGAGCATGTTAGATATTGCCTGTGTGGCATACTGATTCCTGTCACAAAGGTGCCTCTAAGCCTTCTACAGTTGGTATCAAGGCAGCGAGAATAGCAACCGGGAGAAAAATGCATATTTACTTTCCCAAGATCCTCACCCCCCAAGCAGCTGCGAATCAAAAAAAAAAAAACCCAGGAATATGTGAGTCAAAGGGAAGAGGAAGAAGAAACAGAGGGAAAAGAAGAAACAGATTTCAGAGGGAGGACACAGACAGATGGCGGATGAAAATCCTCTGCGGGAATATCTTTGGAGCTGATGTGTTGCATAGTAACAGACTGCATTCCACTATCTAGACAATGCATTGATTAAAAACATATCTTTTTTTTTTTGCTTTTAATAAGTGATTCTTCGTACCTGAACTGAGAACATGACTTTATTTGTAACGGTCATCAAGGCTTTGCGTGATTGCATAACGAGCAGAGCGAGTGGAGATAAAACAGGAGAGAGCAACGTGAAGAAGTCGTGATATTCTCCCCTCCCGGATAAGAACATCAAACAAGATCACTCTCCTTATTCTCTGAAATATTTATCCAGCCTTTCTCTTTACCAAACAACACATCTCATGCAGTCTGGCCTATTATCTTTAGCACCGCACATACAGAGCTGGGTTTAATGAGCTGAGCAGGCATCAAGATGCAGTCCAGCAAATTTTAATCTCTCTTTGTCCCAAACAGGATGTTCTGTCACGGTGTTTATGCGTGGACACTAGGTGATGGCAGGTAAAGCTGCCAGATAAATATAGAATTCCAAATTTAACTTGTGATACAAACGCTGCTCTGCCTGTCAATCTGCAGAAGGTCAACCTGAATATTTATTACTGAGTGATGCATTCTGGAATTTGTCATTTGCATGTTTTTAGGATAAATCAAGAGTAGCAAGGTGCATATCTGCAGTGCTCGGCACAAGCATTATGATCCCATGACCTTCTAAACAACATAAAAAATGGGGAAAGATTGTCGACTGATTGTGCACCTGTCTCTCGAAGTCAGCGGAGTTGGCAGAGGTTATGTGGGAGCTCAGGTTGGCAGCAGGTTGGAGGCCGTATCCACCCAGACGCTGGCACGCAGGACTCATGTTTACTCACTTCATTAACTGTCTTGCATGTATTAGAGTGTATACACACTGCATGTGCTGGGAAAAAAATATTATGAGTCAGTGACTTACTCATGCTTACACTGTTAATCTGCTCTTGATGCCTCTGTTGTGCTGTTAGATTAGAAGGTACACGTTACTGTTGGATAGCAAAACAGTTCTGACACATTTGCTTTGAAAAGGTATCCGCGCAGCTCCTCTGTATCCTTCAAAACTCCCCGCACTGTGCATCTGCCTCTTCCTTTTAAAAGACGATAAATTTTCCTCATAGATATGCTACCTGTTGTTGTCATGACTACATATCCCTGCTATGAAATGCCAGTCAATTTAATACACTGATAAAAAGCCTTGGGAAAAAAAAAAAAAGAGTGACCACCTATCCCCGGTGTGTGTTTTTTCATAGGTGGTCTGTTTAATCTTCCTATCTTCACTGCAACTTGGCTCGCTTTGGCTTCCTGTTAATGCTGCCAGCCTGCGACGACCTCTTCCCAATGCAGTGCTTATGTAATCTGCATTGGCTCCATGCTTC